AAAACTAGTTTGTTTAATCTAAAATGTCAGCATAAAACTTTGGTTTAGTTGATTTCAGTGATGAAATGTGCGATTACTCATTAAACTAGTCAATCCATTTCTTCCTTTTAAAATGCCCTTTTCTGTTGTCTCTTTCCTCCATTATGTGACATAATATTATGCTTCTAATAAAGGAAAGTTGACTATTATAGATACTTGGAGTGCTTTGTTGTTAAAAACAACGAAGAATTAGTGATGAATACCTTAGAGTGACTTTTAATTGCGGGTACTAAATTTTCGATTTTAGCACAAGGAGATTTTGCTGGTATTAAAAATTGTGATTAAGTAATTATTACTAATAGTTATATGGCATCATGATGTCATTATTAATAATTGCGTGTATTAATAATTGTGATTTTAACCCAAATGCAAAATTCGCAAATTTGCAATTAATAGTACCCCCCGTATTTAAAAGTAACCTTAAGGTAATATAGAAGTGGGTGTTCCCCTACCTGTTGCAATTGAATTAATATATGCCCACAGCATTATGAATGCTATTATAGTAACTTGTATATACTCCTTGTATTTTTGATGTTAACACTTTATCATTATTGTACATGCATGACAACATTTCCCATAGAACTACATGTATACATGTTATACATCACAGATGTACATGGACCTGAACATGCACACACATACATGTACATGTACACGTACATGTCACTTTCAGTCAATATTACCATTGTTATTGAAGTGTTGTACGTTTTCCTCTACTTCATGTAAGTTACGAGCGATAACCAGTGACCATTCTGTAAATCCTTTGCTGTCTTTCTGTCTTCTCTTTCAAGAGCGATGAATAAACAAGATTTAAACAACGCTAGTCATGTGAGAGATCAATTAATCGGCCATTTCATAGATATTAGAGTAAATGAAAGGGATTGGAAATGGGGCGTAGCAACAGGAAATGCTGGTTGGGTTACTACGTGACAGCCATCAGTGTTTTGATTGATTTCCCATTTCCTCCATTGGTGAAGTTGCGCTGGCAGGATTTCGAAGGAAATTTGTGTTGCTCCAGGACAACGCTTGCTTATGATCTATAGCCTGTTGTACAAAGAATTTTTACAGCTACCTACAGCAAGTTTTTTGTCTCTGTAAAGCTATTTTGCAAGCAGTTATAGGTACAACAAAATCAACTTTTTTCGATACACTTTAGCTTTTGCAACAAACTCATACTTCATAGATTCTAACTCTAACCTGTATAATTACTTTGAAAAGTGTAAGGTCTTTCATATGATTATAATGGTTTCCAGTTTTACTTTGGCATATTTTGAGAAAAGGGAGAATAATGAAATAAATGGCATTTTAAGAGTAAAAATGGGCTGTATCATTAAAACTATAACATTTTCTGTACAATAGATAACAGTAGTATTGAGAGGAAACATTAGGCTTCTTGATGCATCAGTTCCACTTAAATGAGAACAGTCCTTCGCCAGATATTGCTCCTGAAAGAAGGAAAAGTAGCGTGAAAATAGTGACAAAATCCCAACGAGCATCGGTTTGCTTAGTAACAATACAAATAAATGGAGGCTGGGCTACGCCCACACACCCGTTTCCAATCCCTTTCATTTACTCTAAT